TTGGGAGCTGCATCTGCGGGCAGGACTACCTGAAGAAGAGTCGGACGCAGACCTGTGTCCCCATTAGCTCGGGTGGTGGCGGAGGAGGTGGTGGTGGTGATGGTATGTGCACAAAAAAGTGGCTCCATTTTTTATTTCATCTTTTTGCTTTCTTTTCTAGGAATGGCCATCGGCTCGACCATCGTCGTCCTGGTGATCTGCGTCACCGCCTGCTGCTGCATTGCCCTCTGCTCAAAGTCAAAGCAGCAGCCGCAGCCACCGCCTCATCGGCGAGTTTTCCGCCAACCACCAACAAACAACTCTGCCAACCAGTTATCAGCAGCAGCCAATCGTCGACTTCCCCTATCTCGTCTGACGATACCTACTTCAAACTNCCGCCTTCAGCCAGACGATGGACACTCCGCCGCCCGCCTATACTGAGGCCGTACAGCAAAGCTCGGCTGTACAGCTGGGCTTTCCTCCCAACTCTTCGCCACCGCCGCAATACACTGCTTGAAAATGCTGGGATTTTTTCGCTAAACAGAATCTTACTTTTTAGGAAAATGGTTGTTGTTGTTGATAAGCAACTTTACTAGTCATTAAACTGATGGAATGTTTTTCTCATTTGCAATCATCATCATCAGCATCAACAACAAACGCTGTTTCTTTTTCTTCTTCTTCCTCATCGAAACTTCGACGCTGCACATTGACCACCAAAATTGCGGGACTTTTGTTGCTTTTTCTGGATGGCTTCGTATTTACATTGGGAGTGTCGGTCAGCCTGATTGATCGGAATCCTGGGTAGATAAACACACAGGGAAACTTTAGCAAAACCTCAAAAATGATCATCATCAGTCAAGCAAAGCTTACCCGTCTGCATCGCCCTCAGAGCAATTATCTTTCTCCCGTACAGCTGTCCATTCCGTTCCAGCTTGAAGAGGACAAAGGTCAGATCGGTGGTGAGCGGTCGTGAGGGTGGCGGAAGTTGGGCGCTCTCATTCCAAGTCAGTACCATCAGCCGACCATGACCACCTGGGCAGTTTGCTTCAAAAACAGCTTCTGTTTTTGCATCCAACAACCTCGTCGACCACTCAAATGGCCTGGTAATGGGATAGGTACAGTGAGCAGAGCTGCCGTACAGCTTTACCTCGACGGCAAACTCCTCCTGCTGATGATCACCGGTGAACCATCGCTTCTTAAGGGCGGGAAATACTGCCGAGCAGATGGTGATTTCGAGCTGGGTTTTCGGTACTGAAGATGATGGTGATGAGGAGGGTGATGATGAGGGTGATGACGAGGGTGATGATGATGAGATCAACCACGGCGGTTTAAGCAGATATCCACAGTTTTGTGGGTCAACCAGTTCAAAGAGCGCCTCATTGAGCGCCGCCGGAATGCCGTCATCGAGAGTTTTATAGGCAGAATGCCTTCTTGTTTTGCTCTGGAGATTCCAATTTACAGACACTAGCTGAACTCCTGCCGCCCACAGACGAAGTGGATCGTAGATCTGATCAGGTATGGTGATGTCCTTGTAGACGTGCACCAGGCGACTTTGGGTGAGCGTGGAAAAGTGGTCAATGCTGGCAGTGGGCGGTTGAGCAGGACTTTTATTACTGTCGGCACTTTCAGCACTTTCGGAACTTTCACCAGCTGTGTCAGCACTAAAAACCTTCCAAAATGTGCTCTCATCAGCGGAAATTGTTTCGTTGAAAGCGGTGCTCTGAAGAAGGTTTTGAAAGTTGAGATCGTCTTTAAGAGGATAAGTGGTAAAGTAGTTGGTCAGGCCGATTAGGGAATGTGCTGAGGGCAGGGAAATATTAGGAGATTTGGGTGTGTTCTTTGGGTCTTCTTTATCATCAACATCCTCACCATCATTATCATCCTTATCATCAGTGCTGGCTGCTTTTGTTGTTACTTTTGCAACTGCTTCTTCTGCTTTTTTTGCAGCAGCTTCTGCTGCTTCTTTTGCTGCTTCTGCTGCAGCTGCCTCTGTCACCAGAAATCTCCTCTTGATGATCAGACTTTTTCCGGTGACCACGACTAAATGTACTTTATCACTACCTGTCATTTTATGAACATGATCCTTATTTTCCTCTTCTTTATCACCATCATCATCATCATCATCACTGTCAGCATCAACGATTTTCTTGACCGCCTTCACAAGAACGTAATTTTTCAGCTTTTCAGGAGAGGGAATTCGAGTCGATTCAGTGCTACTTTCCACCGGTTCAGTGTACAGGCGCTCCTTGAAGATACTTTTTAGTTGGTGAGCTAATTTCTCCTGTGCTTCAGTGGAGTGACTGAGCCGTCTGCCCTTAATGTCAATGGAGAGAATAATAGGAAGATGCGCAACTCCTTCTTTGAGATTCTGTTGCGCCACTGCAAAGGAGTTGATCTCTGTGAGGACGCTGGACAGACTGATCAGCAGCGAGTCTGTTGAACCTTTTTTCTGATTTCTTATTTGACGAACATCTCGGTTGTCCCAGACTTCAACTGTAGAGCAGAAAAAAGAGTTGATCTTTAAAAGTTCTTATCAAAAACCAGTCAATCTTACTTTCCAGACATCGACAGCCCGCCTCCAGAAGCTTCCGGTACTGCTTCAACAGATAACTCTTTTTTGCAAAATCGCTCAACAAGTGCAGCTTCCATTTGCGTGATCGGTTAACTGCCGATAAGATGGACTCACTGGTGGCAGAGCTGGCGATGAAGTAGTCCGTCAGTGGATGGGTCATTTGGCTTTGATTTGTTTCTGTATCTGTCGTCATTCTCAGCCGTGCATCAAAAAGGTCAAAGGTGCCGCTCACCAGGGCGATCATCAGGTGGAGTTCGGCCTCGGTGAGACTCCGCTTTTTCTTCCTCGTCTGGCCGTGGTACTGCTGGTAGAGGTACACCTGACAGTGGAAGAAGGACGTGGTCGGGTTGATCTGACAAAGTAAAAAATGTAAATACAATAATTAAAGTTGGAAGCATCAACACTTTTTAAGACTTACACAGCCATTTTCGATCAGAAACTCCTGCAACAGGTCAAGGTTAAAGAGACGCTGGTGATTTTTCTGGTCGCTTTCGCCAATCAAAAAGTACCGGTCCAGAGATTTTAAATCCATTTTGTTGTACCAAAGAAAA